TCGCAGCTTTGAAGTGAATGTAATACTAGTACATGTACATGTAATACATGTAGTTTCATTATGTTTTATCTGTAATACATGTAATACGTACCGTTGTGCATAGACATCATTATGTAATTTACTGTGTGACCTTCTGTTTTTAGCGAAAATAATAAAAGATTTGTACGTATTCATCACATTTACATCTATTCTAACAAAAATGGAAATATTGTATTGCATCACATTTATATGAACATGTATACGTATTACTGTGACTTACGTACACACCTGTTTATGCTAATTTAAGACAAAGAATAATGGCAGGTATTTCCTGCTTGTATTTTTAATATAAATGCTGTAGCAAAAAAAAAACCTTAGCGTATTGGTTGTTCAATAAACCGAGTTTGGATAATAGTTATCTTTTAAACCTGAGCAATGCTAAATTATTATTGTATTACAAATTCAAACAATCATAGATCTCTCATATTGTATCATGCTATTATCACGAACTAAAAAGTATATGTATGCTCAAATTCTTTTGACGAACTCACGTCATTATAGATGTTGATAACGAACAAGTACTGGTATACGCACACTCACTGTTGTGCATACCATCTAAAGTCATCAAACGTTTGTATTTTATAAAATACAAACGTTTGATGACTTTAGATGTATGCACCATACGCACAGCAGCGCGTTTCTTTCTTTTTTAATTGTATTATCAAAAACTAGCTGATATTATTATACCCTTATACGATGCGGAGTTATAGAAAACTCGAGGATCTATTCGGAATTGATACAAATAATCATGTTTTTTATTTTCTTCAATCAATTCTTCAACAAAAAGAGGATAATTAAACTTTTTAGTACAGGAATTTCTGGTATTCAAGAATTTACCGAATCCGGTGCTTTGCCCCAAATCGTTATTATTTTTAAGGATAGAATACTAAGGTTATTATAAAATATCTAATAAATTCTTGTAAAATGAAATTAAATAGAATAAACAAATTACCTATACCAATTGAATGCCAATCCTTGACCATTCCCAGCTTCCAAGAGATATACTCTTCTCTAATTAACTCGCAATATTTTTTCAGCATCTATCACCAGGGATGTCTGGCCTTTAAACTTTTCTTTTACATAGTCAAAAAACATGGCAAATTCTTTAATGCCTATCGATGAAGTTGTAAATTTTAAATCATATAATTCTATGGATTTTTTAGTATCTTTGTTTCTTTGAGATTCATATCGTTGGAAATGTAAGCACGGTAAAAGGATTTTATAGATTTTGATGGATCTCTAATAAGAAATGTAACGATAACGATAAGACACTTGCTTTGTCATTTTCTAACTAATAAAAATCACTGTAACAATTAACGTTAGCGAAGATATTAACGTTAATAAAAATAAATCAATTATTAGAAAAATAGAAGCTATCATGCAAAAATTCAAAATATCACGAGAATTGTACTTCAAAATCGTACAATACATATCATATCATAAATTTTTTTTAGCTTATATTATTTTACTTATTTTTTTTCGTCCCACAAACAATCTAATTTATTTTTTATTATTATGACTAGAATTCTGATAGAGAAACGTGTCTGCATTTACATGCTCTGGCAAGAAGGATATTTGATACAGGAAATCACAGCATCAGAAAATGTAGATCCAGACTCTGTCTGCTGGATATGCAAAAAGAAAGAAAAGACCAGACATTTCGATGACAAGCCAAAAATTGGTTGCCCACCAACTCTCTCTACATGTTATGAAAGAAATATGTTGTTGCGCTTATTTTAAATTGGGGGCGATTTGAGGGATTTCTAACGCAACAAGACTTTGGAGAGATTATTAGATTGATTTTGTATCTAAATTCTGTGCCGATATCGTTACTTAAGTTGATTTTTTGGGGAAAGGGAGAGACTATGTGTTTCAGGTGAGTGTTCGGGGGTTTTCTTAACTATTGCTTTTTATAGATAAAAGCCTTAAACTCTTAAAAATATTACTAACAATTATTGCTTTTTCTAGGCAAAAGCTTTAAACTCTTAAAATAATAATGCTAATAATGATTACATAAAAACAATTTTTCATTAAAAATGCGATTCTACACAAAACAATGCCTTTTTCTGGTGCAAAGGACCTAACCAACAAGTAATATGATATCAAAATTAACGTGGGGAAAGAGAAAGAGTTTACAAGCAATATTTCACTTTTAAGAATAGTTGTACACAAAGATTCAAGCTGTATTTTTGTTTGGAGAAGAATTGTACACAATTTTATTTCTATTCTTTATTAGTAGCCCATGGGACATTCTTTTATACAATTTTTTTGCGTGTTATTATTTTTGTAAAAAGCATAACATTTTACTAAAATAAAAAAAAAGTGTTTATAACGGACGCTCTATCATCCACAGAAGAAACTGATGGAAGATTGATGAGAAGATGCTGAAAATCAATGATGAGATGCTGAAAAATAAATAAGATGCTGAAAAATAATGAGATGCTAAAAAAAAAGAGAATGCGAGAAGTGGCGTAATTCCGTATCGCATATTAAAAAGGGAACTTTGTGTTTTTATTAACATGTCATCATGCTGAAAAATCACAAACCGCTGTTTTGCTGAATAATCTACAGCAGTATTTGTTGCTAATGCAGTGGGAATTAGCTGCTGAAAAGCTTACCGAATTGGGAAACTCACAATATTGTGGATGATCGTGATGGGAACTCACCGCAATTGTTGCTTAAACTCTACCAGTTTTGGAAATCAGCGATGCTATACATACACTGATCTGACGTTATTGACATCCGCAGCTCATTTTCCGTCAATTATCCTCAAAGAACCATAATCGAGGAAGTTTGTTTGCTGACGATAACAACGTGCTGATTAATCTATTCTGAAAAATGTGTCTGACTTGAGTCAACTTGTATTATGACACATATTCTGACTTGAGTACTCTTCGAGTCAGAAAAATTATGACTCGACTTGACTCGAGTCAAAATGAGTTGATTCGAGTTCAATCACTAACTTGGAGAATAATTGTTCACATATGAATTCTGTTATTTATTAGTAGCCCATATTAATAAAAATGTTTATATTGAACACTTTAATATCTATGAAAAATGATGATGACAAATGCTGAAGAGGATGCTAAAATTGATGATAAATGCTGTATTTCGACAAAAGCAGGCGTGGAGAAGATCGTATTTTCGTGCTGTATACCAAAAAGGGAAGCCTGTTGTTTTTATCTGCACGACAGAGGGAATTTACAATGTTATGCTGTTATTTTGCTGAAAAATCTAAGATCGTGATGGGAATTTGCTGTAGCGACACTGAAAAATCTATCAGTTTAGGGAGTCTGCAGCATTGTTGATTGTTGTGATTATGTTGTGATGGGAATTTGCTGCTTTTGCTAAAAAAATCTACCGGATCTGGAAATCAGCAACGTTGAAGATACATTCGTCCGGCGTTAGCGACATTCACGGCTCGTCTTTCGCCATTTCATCCCGAAAAGCTGGAATCGAAGAATTTTGTTCGCCGGCGGTAATAGTATACAATTTTTGTCCCCTGTTAATCTGGCAACTGTAACGGTAAGCGATCATCACATAACAATAACGTTACTGTTACACGTTAATGAAAACATTGAACATGTTCATGTAAAAGTGACTTTCACTTAAATGATAACTCTTCAAACTACATGTATAAGCCAATTCGGTTTGCCTTACTAAATAAAAAGCTTATACACATTTTTTATTATTTCTTATTTATTTTTTTCTATTAAATCGTCATAATATAAAAGAACTTGTCTCAATTAACCGATCATCATATCGATATAACGACAACAACGAGCACTAATGACAACAATCGTTAATACATTATTATTTTTAACATTAATTCATTATTATCATTATCATTATCATTGTCTTTTATATATCAATAACGAAACATATTATATCACGGATACAATAGTCTGAAATAGTAAACGGCCAGTTCGACTCAGCATGAAGCATCTTTTTTTTAAAAAATTTAACGTCAATAGCGATAAAACTTATTTTGAGTATGTTAGTCTTAACGCTAATGAATATGATAACGATAACCCATCGTTAGACAATGATAAGCTTCATTAGTGAAAACTATAATTGATGATAGAGATTGTGAAATTGAAATGCAACCATTTACCTGGAATGAAAGCTTGTGCAATAGCCAACGCGAATGAACACGAAGAATTTTCCTGGGAGGATGTAGAAATAGAAGATAAAAACATAGATTCAGCATCAATATTCGAGCAGGAATCAGAATCAACCGAAGAAAGTACATATTTAATTGAAAATGGTACTGGTCAAACTTTAACGTCTTGTGTTCTTTTAGATATGATAGATGGTCGTATACAGTGTTGTTCAAAAAAAAAAAAAAACAGAAAGACAAAGACCTTTAACTCAATTAAGGAGACATTTTTAAGCGTAAAAGAGGAAAGCAAATTAGATTATCTCGGTGTTTGTTATGCTCATTTCATATTCGATCAATCACATATTAAAAGATATGAACTATCGAAAAAGGTTGGATTTATCATCGCCGTTGTTTATTTTACAATAAGTGTTTTTTAGTCGAAGAAAGACATGTATTCAGCATTCGATGCAAGTAACTAATCGTAATATACAAATACCTTGTATGTATTGGCCAAAGACCTGTGTGCAGCTTTCTCTTCAGAAGAATTATCAACAAATATTTCTAATAATGACCACCAAATTTTTAAATACATATATTTTCTTTAATATAAAGAGTAACAGAATATTACTAACCTAAAAAAATAAATTCTTATTTCCATAAAACAGCCATTATAAAAATAAAGAATTACGTAGATAGCACAGTAATTATAATATCGCAAACTTATAAATGTATCGGTATCGATATTATTACAATGTCTAGCTTTTCGTTATTACGTTACGTAACGATAACTTCTTTCTTTTGTGCATAACTATAATGATAAAGCTTTGTTGAAATTTATAACTGAATTTAGAAATTTTCATTCAGTGGTGCAACTAAAATAAAATTGATGATTTATCATTATCGTGTAAGCAGCGGTTCTGGATTCAACTATTAAATTAAAAACTGACGTTATGCGACATTACTTTAGTTTGTATATAATTTTTCGTCTATTGGTTTGAAATGAAATTGAAAGTCTGACTCCATGAAAAGAATAAAATTTTTATCATTATATTACAGGAAAATTTGTTCACTAACAGTTTTTTATAAAATAAAATACAGAATAAAGAAGTATTGATCAATTTACACGAATATTCCCGCCGGTAACTCCGTTTTATCTGTATAACCTGTATAACTTATCATAGCTAGACCTGCATCGGGTCCACCGCATATCCATTGTGGGCAACTACAAAAATGTGGAATTTGTAACATAAAAACTTTTCAAATTATCATGAAAGTGCATAAAATAATTAAATTTCGTCTTAGACTTACTCATCGTCTCTTTTAATTGGCAATGAAATAACAACAAAATTATTGCATATGAATATCAAGACAAAAAACAGTTGAAAGAGGGTGACGAGATTTTTGGAGAGCATTTTTTAAGTCTCGAGACAATATCCAGTAACTTTTTTTTTTTGATAAAGGTTTCAAAGTTTTAAACTTTTAAGGCACAAAATGCTAAAAAGCAAAACTTGTTTATATAAGAATCACTCTATGAAGTTCAATAACGATAATAATTCATTGTTTCATTTACATGTGATAATACATGTACGTACTAGAAGTTTCCGAAATTTGGTATACGTAATTGTGCATAGTTATTTCATTGTAAGCATCTGTTTTTTTATTTTAGCCATCTCATGCATACATTCTCTAGGTATAGATATTAATGAAACATTCATCTACCGAAAGTATACTTGGGCAGTTCTCCTTCTGTTCAATATATGCGGAATGCTGCAGTGATAAACAATAGTGGTATTATGACGAAGGATTGTAGGGATTACGACACCACTTCGTGAAAAAGTTACTGTGATGATGTTATGATGCATAACATTTAAATTCATCAAACGTTTGTGTTTATAAATGTATACAAAGAGATTAATACAAAAATTAATCCGTGAATATGCTCAGAAAGGGCCTATTCTGCATTAAATTTCTTAGTTGAGAAGTTTATTCATTTTATAAAATACAAACGTTTGATGACTTTAGATATGATGATGTTGCTGTTATCGTTACACTGATAATCGTTTTCTGTGTAGTTGTGAATAAAGATGGTGCAGCAACTGTAGCAATGTGGTGACAAATAAAGCATCACCTAGTTGCAGCTTATAAAATTTTGGAGTTGCAACATGTTGCAACAGGTGACAAATAAGCGTCACATACTTGCTGTGCCATCTCTAGTTGTGACTACCACTACAGGTACTGTTACGGAGCGAACTTCCTCATTATAATACATGTGCCTTATACTTGATAATATTCTTATTTTATAAATATCATATTCATATTTTATATATGTTAATTCTAATAAAATTATTTATTATTCATTTTATATTTATTAATAAAGAGAAAATTCACTGAAATATATCTGGCTTTGAAATAAAAATTATATTTTATTCAGGAATAGATCAAGAAATTTAACAAAATGTACTGTAGTGCTCCAACCGGGTCGGGTCCAATCCGTGATCCGACCCGGAACGCACATTTCGGGTCGGGTCGGATTGGGGTTAAATCCGACCCGAAATATTTCGGGGCAGCCTAAAAATCGTTATTTCTCGTTCAATATTAAACGAAAATTTGTGGGTATATACACAATTAATTACAACTCTACTTAGACACCAAATACAAGTGTCTTAGTAAAAATAAAAGTTATTCGCTAAAGACTATTTTACGATTTCGGATCAAACCTGCTCCGAATCCGACCCGACCCGACCCGAACAGAGCTTTAATGTACTGTTCAATAAATAAAAAACAGGAAATATTAGGATTATTAATCAGTTCTAAATTAGTTCCAGCAATTTTAAAAATTACTAATCCTAGAATAAGCAATTAAATATTGCTATAAATAAGTTTTACTAATGGTTTGTGAAATAAAATTATCTCTAAAATTAGCAATCCTCTTGGAACTGTTCCAGCTCCAAATATTACATTTTAAAAGATTCTGATTTTTCAAGAAGTTTTACTACTTATGTTCAATAAGTAACTTATTAATTAAATCTGGCTTATGATAATGGTTTAATATAACTTGTAAGAAAAAATTATCTCTAAACCTAATAATTTTCATGGAACTGTTTGGACCATTTGGGACCAGTTGACAATCATAATTTAATTGACCAATAAATGAAATTTTAACATTCCTATGAACTCTTATAAAATGAGCATTTATCAATTAGATTGATTAGCATTGCAACTTGGTGCCTTATAATGCAAATAACCAGTCCTAACGAGGGTAAGGACAGAGCTATGTCTAGTTGAATTGGCTCAGTATCTTACAGGGATCAGATGATAAAGCTAATTCAAGTTTTACCGAGGGGTGATTCTGATCATGCAGTTGCAACCAATAATAAAGCGAAAACGCGGGTTCGGAGCGGTTTGGTTTTTATTGACGGGTGATTCTGGCCAGATAGGTTGCAACAAATACACCGACCTTTGATAAATTACCGTGCATTATTAGCAAAAGTTTCTGATTCTTAAAGTACGTATATCGTTTCTTTTTTATTGCAACTAGAAAAAGGATAAATGTACATATCGCACCATGCGTTATACGTGTATATAAAATCTTGTATCGGTACACTTTAAATTTTAGAAAGAATAACTTTTACGTATATCAATGTTAATAAATTAACTAATTTTTTATAAAAAGTAACGGTAATAGTTAAACTAATAAAAATATATGCGTAAACACAAAGAAGTTGATAATAAGAGAAACTGCTTTAATCATTTTATTTAGTGTTTCATATTGAATTTGTAATTTTTCTTACAAGTTACTTGACAACTCTGATTTCACGCAATATGCTGAAACCGAAATCGTTTGGAACATACAAACGGACACTAGTAGAGCCTAAATATTCGATATAAACGTTAATTAACGTAAAATTTTCGTATTAATTATATTTAGAAATGGAAAGTACCTGTCTCAGTTGGAATTGAGATTAGTTTTGTGGTAAAGACTCGACTGGTGTAAACTGCATTGGAGTGGATTGCTTGTTTTTTGTTCATATACTTTTCATCTTCTCGTCAAGTTCATCTAATTTCTGCTTTTCTAGTTTAAGACACTCTTTAATTTCTTCATCTGTTTTAGGATATTCTAAAGAGCTGTAGTACTGGAAATGCAAAGTATTCGGTTTTTCATACTTAATGAAATAATTGATATTGCAGATAGATTCAATAAAGTCTTCAAGTTCCTGCAGTTGGTCTGTTTTCTGGAATAGGATCCCAACATTTTTCAATATAAATTTGAACCATCCAGGAACATTACTTGGTATCGTAGGTCGTACTCCCTCATATAGGTCGAATACGACACCGCCCACCGAATGGTCGTTCAACTGTGACAACCTCGTACGTAATCATCCCAAACCTATAAATATCTGCAGCTTTAGTGTATGGTTTTCCATGTAGTACCTCTGGACTCATATAATGAAGTACTCCGCAAATTTTTTGATCAAATTCTTCTATATCTGCTGGTTTGCTAAGTCCAAAATCAACAATTTGAGGAAGAACATGCATTAATATATTTCCGGGGATGCACAAGTTCCTTAATGTGAATCATATTCAATAACGATAATACCACTTAAATCTGCTAATTTTTCTTCCCAATTCAATCGGTATCTATTCATATGTTTGCGTAGATCGCCATCTTCTGCATAAGTCATTACTACCGAGTATTCATTTGTAGCTGGGTTTTTAGTTATTCCATAATAACTAACCCAATAAGTGCACTTTAGAGCCGTCTGAATCTAATTTTGAAAAATTTAATTAGATTGAAAAACAAAAAAGCAATATGCTTACACTCACTTAAAAAAGATGTTCATTTACCTCGTTTATAAATTCGGATGTAATTTGCTTTGAATTGTGTAATGATTTCAACACAACTTTGCATTCTCCCTTTCGTTCAAACTTATTTTCTACATGATATCAGCAATTCTCTCGCATTCATTTATTAGCCTGTCGGTATTTATTTCCGCTAGTCATATAAATTCGTTTGTGATATCGAAAACATGGATAACATTCATCATTGATTGACAAACGGTACATTTACTACAATCATGAGTATTGTGGACTGAACATTCATCACAGTACTCGTATTTTTGACAATCACGCTACAATCATGAGTATTCGAAGTTTCAGATGCCATCTTTGAATTTATTAGGATTATGGCAGTGTTTTATTAAAAAACGACTTAGCGTTATGTGAAAGTCGATTTATGCATGAAAAGTGACACAGAAATACGTATAGTACCCCAAAAAGTAACGCCCGATTTGCATGTGTAACCAAATTAAAAAATCAATATCTCACTTTGATAAACAAACTTGACGTTTCTTGTTTACTTTTTACGATACGTTAACATTTTAATAATATTACTGTGAAGAAATGACGTCCACCCGTACACAATTAAAC